TCTTTCATGCAGAAATTAACATTAATGACATTCAGACCCACCAACAAACTTGGTTCATAGAATTCACTGAGAAGTTCCTTTTTGTTGATCAGTACTTTCATATATTCTGAAAGTTTCTTTTCCATTAATGTCAAAGGAAGCTAGGTTCTTCCCTGCCTACTGGTGTCTTCCATCCTCGAAGATCTTTAACATTTGCTGTTATCTCTGAAGCTTCTGATACAAGTTTTTCCATCTGTTCTAGAGGCCCCTAGAAGGATTTATTTTGTGCAAGAAAAGTTTTCTTGGCTTTCAAGCCATGTTTAGTGTTCTGTCACCAGGAAGGATTATTTGAGAGGCTTGTAGAGTTTGGAGTCCTCCACAGGTTCAGAGATGGTTCAATCAGGCGTTTGAGTTTTAACTCAGCCATGTTCATCAGGTTCATAAGTTAGTTAGCCATGAGGTAATTAGGAGCTAGCTCAGGCTAGCTCAGCAAAGGAAGGACAGTGAGGAACCCAGTGATAATAGCATCTTCAGAGCATGCTGGGGATATGGTAGTAGTTGAGCTACAAAGCCTGTGCCTCCATCACCTAGGTAGAGCAGAAAGAAGGGGACAGCTACCTGTGAGCCTGGCTCTGAGCACAGATTGTGTGAGGCAGTGGTGATCTGCCTTGTATTTATGATCATCCTTCTCAGCCAGCTCTCTGCTGCAACTCCCCATGCCTGGCGGGTAGTAGTAGGGGCTCAGTAAAGCTTGCTCAGTCCTGTGCTACCACCTCCAACAAGGATACATTGCCTGGTCTCTGTCCTGCCACTAGCACCTGGCCTCTGTCACTCTCTTACACCCTTTATCTTTTATTTTTCCGGCACTACACCTGGCATAAGCTGTGGTTCCTTTCATTAAAGGAGGAGAGTCACTTAATCAGGTAGTATGTATGTATATTGCTGCTGGGGCATCTTGCTTCTATGCCTTTCCAGCAGACAGCTCTTAATAAATTCATGTGTGTGTGTTTGCATGCATCTGTTATATGCACACATAAATATGTGTGTGTTTTATGTATTTATATGCATCCATACTTGTATCTGTTTTTACCTGTCTATATTTATTTGGAAGCAGTTGAGCACTATGGCACAAACCTATAATCCCACTGGCTTGTCTGCCTGAGGTACAAGGATCACTAAGTTCAAGGCTAGCCTGTGCAACTTAGCAAGACCCTGTCTCAAGATAAGAAGGGATGGGGTTGAATCCTCCAGTACTACAAAAAAATTTTTTTTTAAATGCAAGCTGTGAGTTCATAGTTATACTTCTATTTAAATCCAATGCCATGGGACAGGATTTATTCTGGCCTTCCTCTTTTCCTTATTTGTGTCTTTCTATGACAGCAAGATACTTTACTATTATTATTTACCACATATTTCCTTACTTGATCGACCTTATACACATACAAGAAATGAAGAAAATCTTTTCCCAAATGTTCATGCTGTTTTGCATTGCTATCAGGAATTTATGAGAATTATAAATTTTTTTTGCATTTTTACCAGCACTTGGAGTTGCCCGCACTTGTATTGTCATTCTAATATATATGTACTATTATGTCATTATGGTTTAGTTTGTTCGCCCTGATTAGTGATGGTAGGCACTTTTCATATGCTTGTCATTCATTGGAATAATTCTTTTCATAAAGTATCTGTTCATATTGCCCATTAACAATTGAGTTATTTGTCTTCTTATAGAAAAGATGCATAATATTATTATTCCTTAGGAAAATGCAAAGTAATACAACAATGAGACATATAACTCACAACTTGCTTCCAAATTCCCAAAGATATATATCGTTTTTTTTTCTTTCCCAATTTGTTATTTTTCAGTTTCTGGATTCCAGATCTTGGAGAGGGTGAATTTTGCTGCTGTTCACCACTCTGCCATCTTGATTCTCTAATTAATTGTACATTTCAAAATAGCTAGTAGATAGAATTGTGAGTGTTCCCAGCACACACACAAACAGTAAGTATTTAAATCAATAGATATTTTAATTATTCCAATTGGATCGTTATCCATTGTGTGCTTTCATGGACATATCCCTTAAATATGTAGAAGTATGTCAATTAATAAAAAAAGAAGGAACTAATTCTACATAGATTAAACATTTAAATTTGCTAATATTTGTCAAAACTTTAAATTTTAGGAAGGAAATATAAATAAATATTTCAAATCTTCGAGTAGGGAAAGATTGGTTAAGACGCAAGGGAATTGTGTACAGTGGAAAAAATGATAAATTTGGCTACATTACAATTAAAAATTTTGAGCCCTATCTTAACAAACCCAAGTTCTTAATGGGTTAATGACCTAAACATTAGACCTGAAACTGTAAGACTGCTAGAAGAAAATATAGGAAAAAGTCATAAAAATGTTCTTCACAGTGGTTTCTTGGATATGACATCAGAAAGCACAGGAAGTGAACAAAAATAAACAAATAGGGTTACATCAAGCTAAAACAGTATTGTAAAGCAAAGGAAACAAGTAAGTGAAAATGCAACTTAGGGAATAGGAGAAAATCTTTGAAAACTATATGTCTAGTAAGGGGTTAATACCCAAAAGATATAAGGAACTCAGATAACTCAATAGTAAATAAATTCTTGACTAAAGAGTGGCAAAAGTCTTAAACTGACATTTCTTAGAAAAAGGCATACAGATGGCCAACAGGTAATATGAAAGATATTCAGTATTACTAATCATCATGTGCAAATCAAAACTTCATTGAGATCATATCACATCTATCAAGAAAGCCATTTTTTAATTTCCATACTTTTATGTATGTCTATATGTATTTATTTATATTAGAAGAGGAAAGGTTTAGCTCACAGTTTGTAGAGGTTTCTGTCCATAACTGGCTCTCTCCAAGGCAGGGGGGCACAGGGCAGAGGGGCAACAGTTCATGGCAGCAGAAGACAGCAAAGACAATGAAATGGGTCTTCTTTCTGTCCTTCATATGGTATGCAGGCTACCCTCCTTAGGGCAGGTATAACACTCACACTTAATCCCACCATTAGACCACAAATCAGTCACAAACTCAAGATTGAGCCACCTCTGAAAAGCATACCCACCCCCATGACTGCATGAGGCTTTGGAAGGATATCTACACACAAACCATAAACTTTCTGTGCCTGGCCTCCCAAAGACTCATGTACATTCCTTTACACAAAAGGCATTTAGTCCATCTCTAAGAGTTCCCAAAGTCCTAACAGTTTCAGCATTGCTGAAAAGTCTAGGTCCCAGGTCTCCTCTGAGATTTAAGGCAAATTCTTAGCTGTGATACCCTGTAAAATAAAAGAAAGTTTAACACTTCCAACATTCAATGGCACAAGGTAGACATTTCCATTCCAAAAGTTACAAATAGGGGGATACAAAGGAATGGGACCACAGCAAGTCCAAAATCCAGCCCATGTACAGTATCTGAGGCAATCTATGGCAAGATATGAACTCCAAAGGGCTTGGTTGGCTCCACTCCTATGGCATTTTTGGTGATTGCAGCTTCCATGACTTCTCTCTTGGGTGCATTTTTCTCCCGCCTTGTAGTTTTCCTCAGATGATCCACCTTTCTGGTTTCTCCAGACTTCTGGGGTCTTCACTGCACCTTTGGCTTCACCCTCACAGCTTCCCACACTGCCCTTTTAGGCATGTTGCCTGGCTTCCCAGACCTTCTGAAATCTAGGTGGATGCCCTCCTGACAACTCTTCTGTTCTTCATGCATCTAAAACCAGCACCATGTGGAGGAGGCCCAGGTCTGCTGCCAGCTGGAGCAGTAGCCAGGCTTCCTTCTCTCTTGGCTGTACGGGCCAAGTGCCTATATCAATGAGCACTCTGAATCCAATTTGGAGGAACAGATTCTGTCTGCTGCTGCCATTCTGGAACATGGTGTCTTGGAGCGCTCTTCTCTCTTTTTCTTAATCAGATTTTATTGATACATTTTAGATATATATAATGATGACATCATAGAGAATTTATACCTGTACATGATACAACTTTTTTCCCCATTCCCTTCCCCTTCTTTCAACTCCCACTCCTGTTGTAATTTTTAGGAGATTTTTGAGGCAATTTATTTCTCCAAAAATATATATTATAAATAATAACAAAAGACTAATAACTATCTTTAAAGGTTACATCTGAATTTCTGGCTTGTTTCCCATACATTTCAGGTAATTCTGAGGAATCAGGATTTTTTGCTTCATTTTCAGCTTGACAGATTTAGGTTGCAGCTTCCCTGGGATGGGTGTCATAATAAAGCACTGTTGGGACTTTTAATTTAAGAGAAGTACACCTGTATGCTAGTGTATGCCTGTTATTTTCCTACAAGAATGAACTGTGTTCATATAGATGAATATTAGATTATTTGTAGACTTGAATCTGTAACAATTTCAAGAATTAAGAAAATTCTTATTGTGCAAGTTTTTGTAAGTATAAGAAAATGAAGAATAATGATATACTTATAGTGTATTTGTCACCTAGATGTACCAAATAACTTTTTAGTGTATCTTCTTCTTGAACTACTGTGAACTGCAACTATCATAACAATTTCAATCCTTAACACTTTGAAATTCTTTCTTTAAAAAAATATTTCCTACATAACCATGACAGTACCATTATCTCCACAATTTTTTTTAAATTAGTTAATAATTAAACTATCTAGTACCACCTCATATTCAGATTTGTCTAGGTACCTTCAAACTGGAGTTTTAAAACCAAGTGCTTTTGGTCATTGATTCTCTTCAGATCCCATTAATCTAGAACAGTTCTCTTTCCCTGACTACCTTTTGTTTCCTCAAATCTTATTTTGAACTGAAGAAACCAAGGCAACCAGCCTGTAGGGTAGACTACAGTATCGTGGGGTCCATTGCCTGTTACTCTATACTCTGAATTTCTTGTGAATTGAAAGTCAGATTTAAAGTTTTTGTATACATTCCTTTTAGACTTATCCCTTTGCTATGTGAAAGGTGAGGCAATTACTTTTATTTTTTCATTACAGGATTTCAGCTACTGATGTTAAAAATAATAAAACATTGAAGCATAGAATTGAGGAAGAGACATAAACTAGGTAAGTAGATAGTGAAAACCTAAAGAAACAATAGACTTACCATTTGTTTTTATAAAAGAGATTATTGATATAACTGAAAAAACTAGAACATGACCTGTATTTTATCAATGTTAAGAATCCTGAATTTGCTAATTGTGCTGTGGTTATATAAGAAAATATACTGAAGTATTTAGATCGAAGGAGCATGATATGTATAATCTACTTTTAAGGGCTCAGAGAGGGGAAATGGGAAGAGTTTGGTAAACATGTAGATGAGTAGGAACTGTATGTTGCCAGTTTAAATATAAATTAACCTAACTTTTCTGGAAAGGTTTTGGCAATTTTTATCAAGTTTTGAAATAGTTTAGTCCATCATTTTTAATTTCTCAGAATAATTGTAGAAAGATATGGATGAGGATATTATATCAGAACGTTTTACAGTAGAAAAATTGGCAGTAACTTAAGTATCTAAAAGTTTAAATACAGGGGGCTGGGGATTTAGCTCAGTGGCAAAAGCGCCTGCCTGGCATGCGCAAGGCCATGAGTTCGGTTCCCGGTACCGGAGAAAAACCAAAAAAATAAAAAAATAAAAATTAAAAGTTTAAATACAAACATAATTAAACCTTGTGCAAGCATTAAAAATGATGTATATTGGCATAATGTCTATACTGTATATTCATGAATATTAAAGCAAGCTACTAAACAAGCATGAATGATGTTAAAACTTTGTTTTTCAGAAAAGTGGCATGTGCACAGGTACATGAATGTGTGTATATGTTTGGTTAATGTATTTGGTTAGATACAATCTGCTCTCTCTCTCACACAGACACACTTATACACATTATATACACGGACATTTGGAAAGGTGACACCCTTGCCAGTGACTCTTTTTTAGATTAGTGAGTTTACAATATAAGTAATGTTTATACTTTCAGTATTTTCTGACTTAAAAATTAACACATTGCTTTTCTCATCAGATTTTTGTAAGATACTGCTTCCTGTTAAGGTTCTCTGTTTTTTTTTTTTATACCTGTGCGACATCTTTTGCTATGCAATTAATATATTGCTATATGTAACGATACTCTGTACTAGGTTACAGAAGGTATCTGAGTAGTGTTCATGAGGCTAAATTTATAGATGCTGTTACTTGCTGGTCAGCTCCTTTCATTCTGTCACATGATCAATGTCTGTTTCCTTAACTCTTTTTTAGCAGTGTTGCAGATGTGTTGCTACCCACTCAGGTAGGCTGAAGTACATTGCCACTTTTGGAAGATCAGATGATGTGTTTTGTTAATGACAGTTACATGGTTCCTCTATAGACTTTAGGAATTTACTTTTGGTAGAGGGTCCTGTCAGATACAGATTCTGATTGTTGTTTTCCATTTTGAAGGCAGTTGCTATTAAACTTTTTAAAAACTTACTTTTGTTTAACAGGGTTTTCTTCAGTTAGTTAAAAATATGGATCCTGAGTCAGAGGTCCCACACAGTGTCAAAGTGACACCTCTTCAGCAAGTGCTTGCCTCTTGTACTGGAGCTGTATTGACATCACTAATGGGTAAAACTGTTTAATGATGTAGATGATGTAACTTTGAATGAATCGGTGATTCTGAGTTTTATTATATTAGAAGTATTAGCATTATTCATTATGATAAAACTGATCTATTCCTTCATCAGTGTGATAATATGGACAGAACCCTTGACACAAAAAAAATCAAGAATCTTAAATTTTAGTGTTTGCTAGTCTAAGGATGAATACACTTGGGGACAGTACTTACCTATTTCTTAACTTCAACTTTTTCATCTAAAATTGAGGGCTTAGAACAAGGGATCTTGGAAGTTTCTGTCAACATTAGAGTTTTGTAATTTTACTATGTAATACAGGCTGGCCTTGAACTGACCGTCTAGCCCAGGCTGGGATACAAAAGGGAGAAATTTTAAAAAGTGATAAATGGAACAAAATATTAACATACTGAATTAAACGGAATTTAGACAATAAAAGCAACAAAAGTCAAATAATATTTTACTTTAATTACATGGACAGTGCAAATCTTACATTTTTCTGGATCACAATTTGCTGTTTATTTCAGTGAGTTTCTTATAGCCAAATGACATAGGTGATAAGTTAGCATTCTTAATGATTTTAAATTGTATTATTTATTTAAATAAGATAAATAATAAATAGAACAAAGTGATTGCTTTGTGGTGTTTCTTCAGGTGAGAAATTTAGGGTTGCAAAAACCTTAGGTATGCGGTATAACTTCCTTATTCTCAGATGAAGAATGATTTCCTTGGAACTCTTTTGGTGTTTTTTTCTTGCTTAGATAAAATAGAGCATGCAAATTAAAACAATTTGTCTTTGTTTGCTCTTCCCAAATGGAATGATACATTCTAATGCTAAAGATAACTTATGTGTAGCTTACTGAAGTTTTCATTTCTTACAGCTACTATTTGTATAGGTAAATTTAACAGATTAGCAAGATTAACATCACTTACTGTTATTTGTAATACTAATACTGTATTATCCTCAAATATTTAAATAGACTTTTGGAACTTTAGTTCTTTACCTTCAACAGTGTATTTTCTTTTAAACACTATTGTAAGGCTGTTGGAGTCATAGTTGTAGATACATTATGAATGGCAGGTTAGTAAGTGTGAGAGAAGTAATTACAGCCTGTCTTTACTGATCCTCTGTAAGTAAAATTTAAGGACAAAAAATCAAAATGTTACCTCTCAAGACTACTTTAAGATAAATAGCCATACCATTTTAGAGCCATCAGGACAAGTATGCATAATATATTTTGTGGTTTTTGAAAATGTACAATTTATAAGCATCACATGCTAAGAGAAACTTATATATCTTCATAGTGACGCCCCTGGATGTTGTTAAAATTCGACTCCAAGCCCAGAGCAACCCATTTTCCAAAGGTATGTGTGCTAGGTATCCTGAAAATGTTATGTTAGATTTTTAAATGTTTCTGTATTTGTTTTTTTCCAAATAATATTTTTATTAATCTATTAAAATTGATACGTCATGCAGAAATATTTTTTCATTCTTTAGTTGTACATGATTAAGTATGGGCAGATAAAGATTTGTATATAACATGTATAGTGCTTTATGGCTGTATTAATTAAAGTAGAGAATTATTATATATTTGGTTTTATTTCTCAGATAAGAACACAGTTATACTTGTAAGAGTCCTTGGAATCTAACTTCCTCTTTTGTCCAAGAATTACTTCTGTTCTGAAACATTCATGACTACTATTCATCTGTTACTTAAATCCAGTGATTGTAAATTCAGTATTTTATCAAGCTATTTGGTTATATCCAATGGTTTATGTAGAATCTGAGACAAGTGATTTTACACACACATGTGTGTGTGTGTTTTTGTGGAGGGGTGTTCTTGAGACAGGATTTTACTATGTAATACAGGCTGGCCTTGAACTCACCATGTAGTCCAGGCTGGGATACAAAAGGGAGAGATAGTGAAGTGTTGTGTATATGCCTCAAGTCCCTATGAGGAACATGAGCATCATATACTACAAACATTATTTAAAAGTGCTTGTGTATATGTGTATATGTGCATTTTGGAGAAGTGATCCAAGAGATGCAGGGAGCAGGAGGGAAAAAAGGGGAGGGGTTAAAAAAAGAGTTAAGAAATGTCATGTACATGTACTGCCTCCCCCACAATGAATATAATCATTATGTACTGCTTGATATTAGCTAAAAGGCTGAGTATTGTGTTAATATTATCCCCTAGTTATTGCAGGCTGATCAGGTCCACAATCTCCCAAACAAGTAGACTGCAAAGGCTTATAAATGAGACAAGTAGAATGATTTCAGGACTCCAGAAGGATCAAAAACCCTCTCACAGAATTCGAGATTCTTAGGTTTAAGACAAAGAACCTTCTAGGCAGCCCATATTTACTTAGTTATCAAAAACAAACTGAATATTGAAGAAAATGCAGGAACCTGGGTAGCACTTAGGCATCTCTTTAAGGACTTCTCCAGGTAATACATATGTTAGTTTAGGAGAACTATGTTATCTCCAGGAAGGTTTCCACCCAGGAGTGAGATACCTGCAGCTACAGTCTTTAGTTAATAGAGGTTGGAGCCAGGTGTCCTTAGCTGTGGTCTTGTCTTGTCCTTTGAGGCATCATGGCTTCATCCACCATTATAGGCCTCAGTAAGGACTAGTGACTCACAAGTAAACTTGAAAAGCCAATTGGTTAATTTAACTTTTGCTCAGAGATGCTTTGTAGTGGTCTCCATCAGCTGAGAAGTAATTATTATGTACTACAAACATGTACCCGTAAAAAAATTTAAAGATAAATAAAAATGGAGGTGAAAGATAAAAAAGAACTTATTTCTGTGGGTACACTTTCTTACTGTGGTTCTGAAAACATAAAATCTTCTAATTTATTCCATTATTTTTCACAAGTGTGAGTGTACAGTCCAGTTCCATATCATTAAGAAAATTGAATTATGTATGCTTCATCCTAGAAAGTAGACAGTTATTTTTCTTTTTTAAAGTTATTTTTCTTCCATAATTTTGTAGTTTCCTGGTACTTTCAGTTTGTCTGTAAAAATAATAGTTACGAGAAGTAATTATTGACTGTTGGAATCATCTTTGTCAGGAAAATGTTTTGTATATAGTAATGGACTTATGGATCATATGTGTATCTGTGAAGAAGTGGGCAACAAAGCATGGTATAAGAAGCCAGGAAACTTCCAGGGAACACTGGTAAGAAGATTATATTACTTATAGTCATGGTATATTTCCTAATTTTACAGATGAAAGAATTTCTAATTCCAGGAAGTCCATTGTATTAAGGCAGGAAAAGATACTTCTTTCATTTTAACCTTTTGTTAACTTTCATCAGTTCAAGGTTTTTATGTAGAAAAAAAGAGGGGGTAGCTTTCTTTTGAAATTATACTTTATTTTGAGAGAATTGTAGATCACATGTAATTTTAAGAAAAATGTACAGACAGGTCTGATGTATCTCTTTCCACTTTCTGCAGTGGTAATAAAATCTTTAAAAACTAGTAAAAGTCACAGCCAGGATAATGACATTGATACAGTGAAAATAAAGAATAGTTCTGTCATTGTAAGGATTCATTCTGTTTCCCTTGTAGAGCAATACCAGTTTTCTTGTACTCTTACTCACTTCTTGCCCTGGCAACTACTCATCTGTTCTCGATTTATAAGACTGCTGTTTAGACAAATTTGTGACATTTGCAGAAAAATAGATGCACCTGGAAAATACAATGTTGAGTGAAGGAAACCAGACCCACAAGCTTGAACACCATGAGGCAAAGCACAAAGAGAATAATAGAATGGATAGGAGGGAACAAGGCAACAGATCTCTTGAAATAGCGAAGTGGTCCAAGGGAACAAGGGCAAGGAAGAGGGGAAAGGGAGATAATTAAATAAAGACAAGCTGTGTACAAGAACCTAATAACCTTACTGAATGTAAACATATGCTCTAACATGAGCTGAGACTAGTAATATCAACAAGAACGAAAATTTGGATAGGGAAATTAGAGGAAGGGGAAGGGCAGGGGAAGAGGATTAAAAAAAAAAGAAACAAGCTATATTGTGTACATGTACCCACTCCCCAAGATGATTGTAAACTGCATGTATTACAAACATGTACTAATAAACTTTCTAAAAGGTTAAAAGAAAAGATTTTTGTCATTTGGAAATTGTTGCACAAATGGACTCAAAACATCTATAACCTTTATGGGCTGGTGTTGGTCACTTAGCATATTATCTGGAGGTCATTACAGGTTGTTGCAGAAGTCATTTTTTCCTGTTTAGTGCTCAGCAGTATTCCATGGTATGGATGTACCAGTTTACTTTCAGGGTTGTTTCCAGTTCGTAGCTGTTAGGAATAAAACTGCTGCAAACATTTATTTACAGTTGTGTGTGTATGTGTGTGTGTGTGTGTGTGTGTGTATGTGTGTGTGTGTGTGAAAGTAAGCCTTCATTCCTCCACATACATGCACAAATGTGTATTTTCTGACTGCACATGGTAGTGTATGTTGAGAACTTAGGAAGCTGCCAGCCTGTTCTCTAAAGTGGCTGTACCGTTTTATATTTCCATCAGCGAGTGGGCTAGTTTTCTAGCATTTTCACTAGCATTTTGCGTTGTCAGATTTAGCAGTTATGATAGCTGCATAATGTGATGGTTAAGTGTTCAGCTTGATTGGTTGGGAGCTGTCTGGGGAATTAGTAAAGCACACTTCTGAATGTGTGTAGGTGGGTCATGGAGGTGTCATGCCCTTGTGCCATGCCGTTAGAGCCAGGTGACCAGGTCCCTGAAACTATGAGGCAAATTAAAGCTCTCCTTTAAGTGTTAAATTTGTGTTCCAGCAACTGGAAAGCTGACTGATACATATACTAGTGTCTCATTGTACCTTTAATTTGCATTTCTCTGGTGGCTAATGATGTAGAACATCTCATATGCTTATTTGCCATCATATCCTTTTCAATAAAATGGCTCTTCCTGGGATTTTTTTTCTCATTTTCTAGGTAAATTGTTAGCATTTTAGAAATATGTTAGATACAGTCTTTTGTTGAGCTTGTGATATACACATATTTTTTTCTTATTTTCTAACTTGTCCTTTCTTGATCTTTCTAGGAGTAAAAGTTAAATTTTGATAAAATCCAGTATCAGTTTTTTCTTTTGTAGATCATACTCTTAGTGTCTATCCTAAGAACATTCTACCTACATTTAGACTCTGAGATTGTCTGCTATGGTTTCCCGTGATACTTTTATAGCTTTATGTTGCATTTAAGTCCAGGATCCATTTGACTTATTTCTATATAAGGTATGAGACTGAGATTGAGATTTATTTCATCTTGTGACTGCCCATGGATGTTCAGCTGCATTTGTTGAAAATGTTACCTTTCCTCCATTATTTTGGTTCTTTTTTTAAACCTACATAAAAAGTCAGTTGGCCATACTTGGGTGTGTGTATTTCTTGGTTTTCTAGTCTGTTCCTTTTCTCTATGTGTCTGTCACTCTATCCAAACCACACAGTCTTAATTCCTGCAGATGTGTAACACCTTGAAATCAGATGAATTGATTGCTTCCACTTTATTCTTACGTGCTTTTTGTGGTTCTGGGGAATGAACCCAGGGTCTCATGCATACTAAGCTAGTACTGTACTAGTGAATCACATCCCAGCCCTTTCACTTTATTCCTATATGGTATTTCTTTTTCAAAATTGTTGTAGTCATCCCAAAGTTCCTTTGCCTTTCCATAAATTTTATTATAATATTTTTCATGTATATAGAGAATCTTGCTAAGATTTTATTTTACACTGTGTATTTAGGTAGAAACAACATCCTACTGTGCTGAGTCTACCAGTGCATTTTTAACGTTTCCGTGTTACTGTAATTGAAGTCTTTATAGACATATACTTGAATTGTGCTTTAACTTTACTGTTTTCATCTTTTCACAGACTAAATATATTAGTGTAGTTACAGATGTTAGAGCTTATCTGCTATTTTATTTCCTGTTAATTCTGTTTCCTACTTTGGTTTTTCCTTCCTCTGCTTTCATTTTGATCTGTAGCATTTTTGCAGATGAGGCATTTTACTTCTGAATTTGTTTGCTGAGGCATGGTGTGTTTTCATTTGTTTCAAACATGTTTGCGATTATTAAATACTTTTTATGTTGACTGCTTGAAATCTTCATCAGAGGATTCTAACATCTCTCTTAGCTTAGACATTTATTTATCATCCTTCTTCATTTAGTGTAACATTGTCCTAGTTCTTAGAATGGTGGTTTTAAAAGTTAAAACCCTCAACATTTTTCCTCATTGCCCCACCAGCATCTGTTATTGGTTGATTTTTCGGTAATAGCCATTCTTTCTGGAGTGACATTAACCTGTTGCATCTCTGAAATGAACAGTGATGTTGAACATTTTTTCATGCATTTACTTGCTGTTTGTAGTTCTTTGTTTGAGAAATGTGTATTCATTTCAGATGCCCATTTTTGTACATGTGCTGCTGAAGTGAGCACAAGATACCCATTTTTGGGGTGGGTCTTTAAATTTGGTGGGTCTGGTTTTTTTTTTTTGGTTCTTTATATATCCCAGGTATTAGTCCTTTGTCTGGGAACAGCTAGCAAAATTATTTTCCCACTCTGTAATAAATTTTTATTCTGTTGGTGGTTTCTTATACTGTGCAAAAGCTCTTTACTAAGTTGATTCTTTGTAATATTTCCTGTCCAATTTGGGTTTTGTTCATAAAGCCTTTGCTTATACCTATGTCTTCAAGAGTTCTACCTCTTCTCTCTTCCAACAGATTTAGCATTTCTCCTTTAATGTTTAGATCTTTGATCCATTTTGATTTTAGTTTAGTACCTGGTGAGGGACGTGGGTCTAGTTTTGGCTTCGGGATGTGGAAAGCCAGTTTTTCCAGCGCCAGTTATTAAAGATTATTTTCTCCCAGTGAAGATGTTTGACCTCTTTGTTGAAGATAAGGTAGCTGAGTGTGTTTGGAATTGTTTCTGTGACTTCTGATCTGTTCCTTTAATCCTCAGGTCTGTTTTTTTGCCAGTGCCATCCTGTTTGTAGACTGGTGCAACCACTGTGGAAATCAGTGTGGACATTCCTCAAAACACGAAAACTAGAGGTTCCATTTGCCCAGCTATTCCTCTTCTTGGTATCTTCCCAAAAGAATTAAAAGCATCACACCAAGTGATACATGCGCACTCATGTTTATAGCAGCACATTTTGTAACGGCTAAATCTTTGAAACAGCTCAAATGTCCATCATCTGATGGATAAAGAAGATGTGTGTGTTTTTTTAATACAATGGAGTACTAATCCATAAAGAAGGAAAATCTTGAGACATTTTTAGGTAAATGGGTGTACCTTGAGACCATACTCTTAAGTGAAATAAATTGGACACACAATACTGCATTGTTTCTTTGATGTGAGAAATTGAAAGTGTAAATAAAGACAGAAATGTGTGATAGATATTGTGAAATAGGAAGAAAATATTCAAATGGGAAGGGGAACTAGGGAGGCAGGGTAAGGGAAAGAAGGAAGGAAGGGGAAACAACAGTTAGAAAAAACAAGAAAGAAAAGTGGAAACAAAGCTTCCGTAAATAAGGAGGGGAAGAGGGGATGAAGGTGGAGAGGAAGGGAATGGGAAAAAAGAATCAAGATATGTCATGTACAGGTATAAATTCCTTATGAGTGTGGTCATTATGTATATCTAAAATATACCGGTAAACTCAGTTAATTAAAAAAAACCCTGGACATTCTGAGTATCTGTGATTAAACTCTAGATGTCGTTTGAACATTTTATTAAACTGGCTGTCTGATACTGCCTCCCTCCAGGAACAAGAGGGCTGTACCTGTTACTGCTGGGTGGTTAGAGTCCAGCTTCCCCACGGCCTGCACTGGCACAGTTCACCTTTGCACGTGGGCAGGAGTTTGGCTTCTCGTGTGGTTTCCACTGATTTGTAGTGGGGTAACCTCATTACTGCCGGGTGATAACAAAAGTCGTGACTCTCCACTATTTCTCCTCTCGTGGGGCAAGGGGAGGGTTTATTGCTGATTAAGTGGGATAAAAGTTTCAGCTCCCTATTGACCTTCAGTGAGGCCCCCCTGAATGGAGGTGTCATAGTGTCTTACTGCAGTCTCAGAAATGTACAGTCTTTGCTGCCTACTGGGTCTCTGCTGGTGTGGATCTGGGTGATATCACATTTTTCTGTCATATTTGGCTAGAATAGAACCCTGTCTTAAAAGTTTTCTGTCTTACTAAGTTTCTTCTTTCCTGGGAAAACATGCACTCATTTGTAAGTGGCTTCTTACTACAGTGTTTTAAGACTCATAAATGTTGTGGCATATTTCAGTATTTTGCATTTGTAATACTGTACCATTTTGTGAATATACCATGTTTTACTTATCCATTCATCAGTTGATGGACATTTGGGTTATTTCTACTTTTGGGTATAAATAGTGTTGCTAGGAACATTCAAATTTTGGTTTAAACATGTTTTTAATTTCTTTTAAATATATATATATATAATTGAAATTGAAATTGTTGGATCATATGACACCTCTATATTTAACCATTTTAGGAACTGTCAGGCTATTTTCCAAAATGGCTACATACCATTTTACATTCCCACTGTTAATATATGAGGGTTTCGATTTCTCCATATTCTCAGTAGTACTTGTTATTCCCTGTCATCTTCTGTCCATTCCTTTCCCTTTCTTTCTGAGATGGGATCTTGCTATGTTCCCCAAGTTGTCTTGAACTCAGTATTCTTCTGCCTTACTCTCCCAAGAGGCTAGGATTATAAGCATGTACACCTGCACCTATTTTATCTGTATTTTAAATTTTTGCTTACCTATTTGGTATGAAGTGATAACTCACCCTGGCTTTGCTTTGCAGTTCCATGATGATTGATATGTTGAGCATTTTTTTCATGTGCTTATTGACTGTGTATTATTTTTTTTGGAGGCATGTTTATTCTAATCCTTGGTCAATATTAAGTATATTATTATTAACTTGTAAGAGTTTGTCCATTAACAATGGACTTAAGCTTCTGCCTGCTTGATTCCATTCTAGAATTTCACAAAGTGGGCTCTAATGATTTTTTTTTAAGAATTTATACTTGGTCAGGAGAGTTTATGTGATCAGTTCTCTGTTACTACTCTATTCCTTTTCTAGAATTATCTTTCAAAAGTTTGTTTTTAAGCCCTACGTAGAGTAATCCAGAATTGAGTAATACATATTTTATTCTGTGAGAAGTACTGTTCAGAAATACTTCATTTTACTTGTATTGAAATCCTTGGGTTTTTTTGAAAGAATGGACATACATAAATCCAAGAAGCTCATATCTTAGAAATAAATGCTTGAAAGAATCAAATTACCAATCATTTATCACTCTAAATTTTTATATATATCAGGTATAGGGCTGTATTTTGACTACTTTTTTCTATAATAATTTTAGGATGCCTTTTTAAAAATCATTCGAAATGAGGGCATTAAGTCCCTGTGGAGTGGCCTTCCTCCAACTCTGTAAGTTGAAATTTAAAATTTTTTTCCATTAAGTGATGGTTGTTTTGTATTACAGTGAGCATGATTAGAGAAAGTCATGCATTTTAAACATTAGACTTCTTTGATATTCTGAAGCATTGTTTTGTGAGCCTCACAGTTGCCCACACATTTGATGATGTGCTGGGACTCACAGACCTAAGGAGAGTTATACTCATGAGTATGGTTTACAACCGCTAAATGGTACAGAGCAGCATTGGTAAGGGAAAAACACATCAGGAGTTGACTAAGGGCTTCCAAAGTCCTTCGTGGCATACCCTGGGTGTGCTTAGTCTTCCTGCAACTAACTCTGAAGAAGCAGAGTGTTTCTACCTTGGGAAACTCACTGGAGTTTCCCAGCTTACCTTAACCAGCTGTAATTAGCAAAACTTCAGACCCCAAAAAGGAAAGTAGGTGCGTACTATAAACCACCTTTCCTGCACAAAGCAACCTACACAACTTGGTTTGGTGCTTCAGACGTACAGAAGGCATGTTATGGGGAAAATTCCACTGACTAAATTCCGGGCCAAAGGTCAGCATCCAAACAGGCCCTCCTGAAGATATCATGGGAGATTTAAGTAACCAGTCCTACTGCATTAAGTCTTTCCTACATAAAAATAGTATTTTTTCCTGTTTAGAAATAAAGAAATTGATATTCATTTGACTTTTTATTTTACTGGAACATTAAGAATATTGTATATAAATTTACTTCTCCAGATAATTCTCTCTACTAACAGTTATGTGAATTAATATGAGTAAGTTAGACTGAGTGTAAAAATTCCAAACAATACCTTGGCTCTCCTGCCTGCTTTATTTCTAAGCATTTGTTTTGTCATTTATATGGAGGCAGTTAATCAGTTTTGATGCGTATACTTTAATGCCTAAGGTTTTTTTAAGTTAGTGGATATCCAGGACTACCATTTATCTTTCACTACATTCACTTCTACTCTTAAATACTCTGTGTCAACCTTCATTATGGAATATTAAGCATTCCAAAGTATGGTCTGCTAATACCCTGTAGTTAGACCAGAAACATAAACTGGCTTCTTGTTGTATTGACGTTGCTGACATGACAATGCCTGCACCTTTGTATGTGCATTTACTTCATAACCTCCTTTTGATATTTTCTTCTAAGAGAATATGTTATTAGAATCCCCTTAAAGCTAGTGTGTACAATTCTGGCAATGTTAATTGTATTTTATTTCCAATTATAAGCAAGTGTGATATGTGGTATGTAGTTCAAAAAAGTCTTACAGGTAGTTGCTCATTAACTTTTTATTGCAGCAATTCCTAGGTCATAGTAAACATTAATTAGGAGGGTGGATGTGGAAGACTAGAAACAGATTGAAAAGGAAAGGGATGAAGAAGTGTCCTAATTTGTGTGTGTGTGTGTTTCACACCTGAGAGTGTACAATTCATGTGATACGTGTTTGGCTATATAGCACTTTTTAATGTTGTATATTATAACTTGCATTCGTTTGATGCTTTATATTGTAACTTCACAACTAGAATTTAAACTTTTGGAGAGCAGATACTTTTTGCATCTCTTTACTGATTACTGTGTTAAGCACTAATACTTTTTTTAAATAAAAGAAAAATTTGTCTCATGGGCTCATTTGTTGTGTTTTTTAGCCTATATAAAAGAAAAGTTTTTTTTAGCATATATCATGATATTGAATTTTATTTACTGGTATGTTTGAGACTTTTGGATAATTCTGAGCAATGTTTTTGTTTGTGTGTCTCTACAGAGTGATGGCAGTTCCTGCCACCGTTATTTATTTTACCTGCTATGATCAATTAACTGCTGTTCTGAGATCCAAACTAGGAGAAAACGAAACTAGAATACCAATTATTGCTGGAATTATCGCCAGGTGTAAGTAATACATTTTTATTTTCATTTTGATTTCTGTTTATGCCATCCATTTAAATTTTGACATTCAGACAGAATTTGTATAATGTACATAATACCAGTGAGGCATTTTTGCATCCCAATTTGTATTTATTTGTTAATAGCTTTACTCTGGAAGTGAGTTGGCATGTTGATTGTCATTAGTTTAAGATGAGATTAGCTGAGTTTGGTTGAATCTTGGACGATTTTTCTTTATTTATTTTTTAAAATAGGATCATCGTAGGTAGTCTAGGATGGCCTTAAACTCACTGTGTTGAAAAGGCTAGCCTCAGATTTGAGGTCCTTGTGCCTCAGATTTGAGGTCCTTGTACCTCAGCCTCTTGAGTGTTGGGGTTGGAGGCATGTGCTACCATATGTAGTGTGGATAGTTTTTACTGTATTTCCTTTGCAGCATGGGAGATTTGACGTAGGAATTTTACACTGAATACAGCCCCAATCCTTTTTATTTTTAAGACAAAGTCTTGCTAAGTAGCTATTTTACCTGTGCTGGGCTCAAATTTACGATATTCCTGCCTCAGCCTTTCAGAGTGCTGAGATTACAGGAATGTGCCACCATGCCTGGTGTTTTACAATAACATCAGAATTGGTTCTTAATCTGCCTAAATTTCCAAGCTGTCATTTGTACCCATACATGATTCATGCCAAAGTCTTGAATTATTTTCAGTATAAACTTTGGGATTCAGTGCTTAGTCAGAAGAAAATTTGCCTCTAGTCAGAATATATTTCTCTGTGAAATAGGACTCTGGTTTATTGGGGAGGCATTAACTAGAGTAAGGTTTTCTAACAGTTCTAACTGACTATAACATTTCTGGCACCCCCTTTGAAAGACTTGAGACCAAAAGAAGGTACATGAAAACACTTAAGAAATACGTTTTTCAAGGGAAAAAGTTTGTACCTAATTTTTTTTTTTTTTTGAGACAGGGTCTCGCTATGCAGTTCAGTCTGGCCTTGAGCTCACTTTGTAGTCTAGGTTGGCCTTGAACTTGCAACAATCCACCTGCCTCAGCCTCCTGAGTGCTGGGATTACAGGCATGTGCCATCACGCCCAGCTGTACCCATATGTTGACAGATTAGATATTTGATTTTAAGGTTTGCAGATATTTCAGAATCAAAAATAAAATATAAAGAAGTATTGACTTTTACATGTGTGTTTGAATAGTACATGGCTTTGTTTTATTTTTTTTCATCTAATTGTTTGTATTAGTTGGTGCAGTAACTGTAATCAGTCCATTAGAATTGATTAGAACCAAGATGCAGTCTAAGAAGTTTTCTTACAAGGAACTACATCAATTTGTCAGTAAGAAAGTATCGGAAGATGGCTGGATTTCCCTTTGGAAGGGCTGGGCTTCTACTGTTCTTAGAGATGTGCCTTTCTCAGGTAGGATTTGTCTTATTATTATCTGCTAAAGTTTATGTAGCTGCGTCTTATTCATACACTACTTTTGTTAGGTTTTAAACCTTTTGTGGTTAAAAATAAGTTATTTTCTGTAGTAACCAGAAATTGTTAGTTCATCATTTGGGCATTCTGATCTCCACAACCTTTACTGAATGAATATTTTCTAATTCAGGCCCGATTTTTTTTTTTTTTTTTGCTTGCATTTCATTGTCTTTTAAACTTTGATTTGATGGGCATTCATATTCTCAATAAGTCATAATCAATAAGGTAAATAAACTGCTATAAATCAGAATATATAAAATCCGTGTAAGACCACCTTTGATTTGGACCCTTCCTTTTTCAGTTATTAAAAATAAACGTCTCCCCATTGAGTGAGTACCCTGTAAGACTATTTAAATCAGATAGGTGCTTGTGTTCAGTTACGTTGTTAAGAAACATAAATGTGCAATTAATCATAGATTCCTATGCCAAGTATATTTTATTCTTAATGTGTATTTAGTATGTAAAAAGTCATAGGTTTAAATTATGAAGTATAATAAAATGAACACCCTTGAACTCACCACTTCAGTCTATGAACTTGAATGTAACAGCTTTTTAAATCAGGAAGCCACATAAATGTTCTTTTATGCTTATTTTCCCAGTGATAATCCAAGTTTTTTGGTCATCTGAGTTTTTAAAAATTTTTTTCTGTGTATTCTTTAGTTTTACTCTTTTCATTTAGAATTTTCCTGGGATTCATTGTATGTTTGATTCATTTTTAATCTTGTTTATGTACAAGTAACTGTGCTGCTATAAACATTTTTTAAACAGTCTCTATGTGCACCAGTTTTCCAGTATTAGATTTGGTGACTCATATAAATACTGTATACAGTATACATTTCTCGTTTCACTAGGTAATGCAAACTCTTTTCTAAGGTGATTGTATGGATCTCTGCACCTGCCAGCAATATGAGATTTCTTGCTGCTTTGTACCTTTACCAGGTCTTTTATTGTTAAATTTCTTAAATTTCTCTGGTAATTTAAAGTAATATCTCACTTTAATTTACATTTCCTCAATGGTTTATAAGATTGGACACAGTTTCATTAGCTATTTAGTTAATTATAGTTGCTTTGAGCATATGCGCTAAAGCAGGCTTTCAGGATCATTCCCAACCTCCCTTCTGGGTATGCTGAGCTTTGTCTCAGCATCATCTATTGAATAACAGTAGCTGCTTCAAGGATCTGCAGTGTCAGATTTTCACATAGGCACAGATCTGTTTCATTGGCTAATTTGTCTAAATCTGTGCCAATTCCACAGCCTAAATTCTAGTGCTTTGTTAAAAATCTTGACATTACCTTTTATTTTCTTCTCTATGACTTATCTGTTACGTTAATAAATCATATTTGATGTTTTGGTAGAAACTTCAGTTTTTCAAAAAATTAAATTCATCTCCGTTGAGATTTACTAAAGGTATCCCCCAGCCTCCAACTTTGGCAGCATTTGTTCATTTTTGTGGGACTGGGATTGAAACCAGGCCCTTGTGCATGCTTTGGCACTGATCTACATGCCCAGCCTTTATGTGTTTTTAAGCCTTTAGTTGATTTGGTTGCAGCTTACTTTATCTTTTGAGTTTCTGTGTAGATAATAACATAGGCAATAGTAAGTTATGCTAGAAATTTTTAATCATCAGAGCTTTTCTTTCTTCCTGTCTCATGCAGTTTTGAACAACAGGGAAAACAGTGAGCAGCCTCTTGTTTTCCACAGTTTAAGAATGGTAGTTCTTTTATTTCAGCTAAGTGATTATTCTTGTCACAGGCTTCTTCTGATGCATTCCCTTTATCAAGTTAAGAAGTTCCCCTTTTATCTCTAGACTTTCAAGAAATTTGTTTGCCTGAAGTAGGAGTGTTGAGCTTTATCAGATGCTTTTTTTTCTCATTAGGTTATTCCTTGGTTTTGTTAATGTGGTATGTTACACTTTTTGTGGTGTATTACACTTATACACTATGGTATATCTTTACTTTTTGCTTCGGTGTGCTGATTTTTAAAAAAAAAAGACCTTTATATATTCATCTATAGGCAGGCCTTTATTTTTCCTTTCTCTTACGTGTCCTTGTCAGGTTTTGGAATTATAGTTATGTTACAGTGATGCATAGGGGAGTATTTGTGTCTATAAGACTGCTAGTCTAAACAAAAAGCACGATGTGTCAAGGTTAGATTTTCTCTCTTCCTTTGGTTTTTAAGTTTATCTTTTCTTTAAATGCCATATTCTGTTTCTAAATATGTGCTCATTTCATTCTGTTTTTATAGCTATATACTGGTATGACTATGAAATTTTAAAGAAGTGGCTATGTGAGAAATCTTGTATAGATGAACCGACTTTTATGATCAGCTTTACTTCAGGGGCATTGTCTGGTTCTGTAAGTTTATTCTTTTGTTGTTACTATTCTAGGGAAATGGTAACTCTTACATTAAAACAACCAAACATTATATAGCATTTCACATATATTCCGAGAGTACTTTTTGAGCTATAATACTTTTAAGCTTGTTTATCATCCTCTTTTAAGGAAATAAATTATTAGTCATTAAAATGGTTTAAAATGTACTTTACGCTGATGATTTTACGTTGTATGTTTTTGCATATTTCACATATTTTTCTGAGAAACTTAGATTTGTTAGATCACTCTAGTTCAGTCACTTTATACATGAAAGTACTTTTATTTATAGAGCTTTTATAGTATATTAGTTCAGTAGATGCTACTAGATATGATTAGGTAATCGTATATATCTTTGAATTAAATAGAAGTAGTTCCATCCTCTGTTAATTGCTGTTTCTTTGGAAACGTTTTGCTTACTTCTTAAAATAATTGTAAGAAAAATTGCAACCAGAAGGGAAGAATCTACAGTGACCCCTTTTGAGCAGTAGAAAGTTCACCTCTTCCAGTCTGTCCATATAAGGGAAAGTGATCCACTGTAGAGTTTTTCTGAGTAGATTCATATCACCATGCCCTTGGCCATAGAGAGTTTTCTTATACACATATACTTGCAAGATTAGCTTGTGAAAATGTACAGCATGACACTGACATTGCAGAATCATAGAAAAATAGGTGCCGGATGATAAAGACCTGCAGAAAAGTACTGGAAAAACATACTGTAAAACCTAGGCTATGGAAGCCACTGCAGTTGAGTTCAAAACTGCGATGTGAATGTTGTCTGGTCTAAGATCTTTAAGTTAAGCCCCATGGATTATAAGCCCATTGAGTCATTATGGAAATTAGTATTATTGAATAATGACTTTAAAATGTTGTACCAGCTGGGTGTGGTGATACACACTATAATCCCAGCATTGGAGAGGCTGAGGCAGGAGGATTGTTCAAGGCCAGTCTAGGCTACATAGTCATTTCAAGCCCAGTGTAAACTACATAGAGAGACCCCTGCTCAAAAAAACAAAACAAAAAAAAGGAAAAGATGTTGTACCAGCTTTCTAGTAAAATCAGGGAGGTTCTCTATTTTATTATTTCTGCTTAACATAGAAGGTGTGTTTTTTAATGATTTAGACATATACTGGCTTTTGACAGTTTTGAAATAAAGATTTGTCTCTGCAGCAGAAAAAGCATATGAATATGACAGGGTCCTGGCTTTCTGTTAAAAAACAACAGTGTAAAGGACATCATTTAAAAAGTGTTAGAAAAGTGTATATGACATTGTTGCCACTGCACAGCTTGTGGAGATGGAGAAACAGTAATTGATTTTATCTCACCTATAATCTTTGAAGCTGATTTCAAAACTGTAATCACCAGATTACTGAGGTAAAAATAAAATTCAAGTGATTTTAAGGGGCATTTTATAACCATGTTGGTACAGATGTGAATTGGGAAACAAAAAGTAGATACCAGATTTTACATGGCTGTTGGCGTTAGATATTATAAGAACAATCTCTTTTTTTGGAGGCAGGGTTTCACTATGTAGTTCAGGCTGGCCTTGAACTCATTTTGTAGCCCAGGCTGGCCTTGAACTTGCAGTGATCCTCCTGCCGCAGCCTCTCGATCCCTGGGATTACAGGTATGAGCCACCACACCTGGCTGTGAGACCATTCTTAAGGGAATCTAAGTTTTTGTTAAAAACAAAAGAATTCTGGACATAGTGGCACACACCTTTAATCCCAGCATTCTGAGAGGTTGAGACAGCAGGATTGAAAGTTCAAGCACAGCCTGGATAACTTAGTGAAATCTTGCCTCAAAAACTTTAGTATGATTATTATTTTTGTAATTTAAGTAGGGTTGGGAATGCAGCTTACTTTGAAGTCCCTGGGTTCAGTCCTGAGTACCATAAAAACAAACAAAAAACTCCCTTACCTAAGGTATTATGGAAATAATTATTAAATTGAATAACTTTGAGAGCAGATTTTTAATGTGGTTTTTGAACCAATCTAACTATAGTTGATAAATATATTGATTTTCATTAAGAAAGGGTGTATAGACCAAGTTCATTTTCTTCGTGTACTAAAATTTAATATTTTAAATCTATTTTAAAAACATTTGCTGGAAACTTTTAGATGCTAGCTAGAAACTGGAGAATTTCTGATTGAAAATATGTGTCATACCTTCATGTGTATGAAATAAAGGAGTAATGAAACATACAGGAACGTCAGAAACCAGAATATTGGTTTTGCAGTCAGAGGTTTGAGTGGAATTCTGGCTCTGCCAATAGTAGCTGTGTGATCTCAGGGAAATAAAAGAAGGTCTGTGTGACTATTTACATCTGATTTTTATGAAGAATATTTTAATTTCTTTGGTTTTGTTGTAAACCTCAGTTTAGCTTTGATTTTCATTATTATCCTTGTGAAATAATATGCTAATGGGGAGTTTCAGACTATTTTGGGGAGAATTAAAAGGTCAATTTAAATTAATTTTACTTTCTGATAGTTTGCAGCTATTGTAACTTTGCCATTTGATGTGGTGAAAACACAAAAGCAGACACAACTTTGGACATATGAAAGTCATAAAAGTAAGTTTAGACTTTTTAAGATGACATTTTTGTTTTTCTTTCTAAATACTGTTAGGTATATCTAAAAATAAGGAAAACAAGATTGTTTTTATTATACCTTTTTTTT